GATTTATGCTGTAGCACGATTGCGACATAAAATATGCTTTCTATGATTTGACTGTCAAATTATATACCGTACTTGTATGTTTTGAACAGTTTCAAGGAATTACATTTTGAAGGAGGTGGAAGAAGAAGACATAATCAACCAGTAATACAGATTTTTTCGTTAAGTTGAATGATTTTTCTACATAGCTACAAGAGAAAAAACACAGCAGAGAGAGAGGGAATCGCAACAAATCATCAAAAGGGAGGTAATTATTAGATAGTACTAAAATTTATATATATTGTGTATATGTATATATATATATACATGTATACGTATACGTGTGTATGAGGGGTAGATGGGGACTTGTAGGATTTCTCGGATCTGAATATCATTCCCTACCTAGAGCAGACAACCCTCAGTATTTTGTAGTATGATAAGTTTTTTTTCGAAAAATATCGTGACAATTCAGTTCATCGTGATTAGGCATGTGACAGTTCCATTTCAGCTCATAGAGCTGGAACTGGCCGAATCAGTTCGCGTTCATATGAACTGGAGCTGGTGACCAGTTCAGTTGATGTGAACTGAAACGTCGTTTAGTTCACTGTCTTATATATTTTTTCATTCTGTATCTTCTAAGGTTATCTTGGACGAGAAAGCAATTTAAAAAATGAGAAATTCAAATGTTTTCAAAATTTTTCTCTGCATGCATCATAACTAGTAAATCTAACCAGCTAGTGACACGTTTATGTTTTATTCTTGAAAATGAACTCTTAAAGTTCGAAACGTTGAAAATTTTTCGTTTTAATTTAATTATATATATTTCAATAAAATGAAGAATAGCTGTTACTTTATTATGTGTATTAAAATTTTTGCCCATTCATAAAGAAAATGTGTACATAGTATACAATAATATTGCAGGTCTCAAACATCTCCTCATTTCTCTATTTCTTCTGCACAAAAACCAAAGATTTGTAAAGAAGGTGCCACCACGCGGAAAAGAGAACAACCGCAAAAAGAGAATATAGCAGAAAAAAACAACATACTTATAAGGACAGGTGAGCGCGTAACGCTCGTTTGAAAGTAGGAATTGTTTGATAAGATACAAGATACGAATTTTTCGCTTTTCTTTTTAAAAAGAGCTTTTTTCTACACAATGAAAATAACAAAAAAAAGAGAGATCTTCCTTTTGTTTTCGAATTTAACATTCTTTTATCCACATTGAATCAACCAAAGAAAACTGTTTTATCACTTAACTGAAAAGTTCAATTGATTTTTTTGATCATTTTTAGTATTAAAAATCTCAAACTTGATTCTCTTCGCAATTTCACATAGGGAATCAGGATAAAGCAGTTTTAGAAATTAAAAGGCGGATAAACATAAATCTTTGACTTATTTTTGAAAATGGCGCTAAATTTGACGACGTATTCGTATTCTGAAATTTTTCATTAAACAGATTAATTCTCAAAACCTTTAGACGAAGGTTTTCCTATACAACTCAATGAGTTCTATCCTACCATGCAAAAACAAAACAGTGTTGCTGCGTTTGTGGATTTCCGCCACCTGAGTTTTGCTGTAGTTGCCAGCTTATTCGCGTACTTCTTTGTCTCATCCATTACTACTTTCGATTTTTCTTTGACTACGCAATTTGCAATTGTGCAATGTGTTTATACAATTATTAATGTAATTCTTTTTCCATCTCATTTAAAACAAATATTATTTAATAATAATAATTGTAATGTGGTCGTTCCAGTTGCAATTCAGCTTCATCTATCATTGATTCAAGTGCAATTTTATCAGTTTTTGTATCATTACAGCCAACAGGTGAAATAGTGATTGTTTCATATTTCGTTAAATTAGCAACTGCATAATGAATTGACTTTAATAGATAATCTTGCACTAAACGACTAATATTTTTCTCATTTAATTTAAATGCAACAAAAATATTTTTTGAATGAGGAGATATTTTCGAATCTTCGTCTTTAGTTGGCCCGTCCGTTGCCGAGCAGATAATCATAACCTCTGCCTGACAGTAATATGCTATAACTGACTATGCACTTGCTAATATTCGTTTCCGCAGCAGCGTGCAGGAACCGTAAAATGCAAAATTATTTTACTTCTCTATACGCACGGTAGGCATGGTCCGAGTGCGAGCTTCGGTTCGGAAAACTCGGCACGTTGAAGCTCGACTCGTAGTCGGCTCGGGCTCGGGTAGAGTTCGGAATCGGCGAGCTAAGCTCGGCTCGGTTTGCCTTAACTAAGCATCCACTTTTAATGTCAAATATTTTTTAACTTTACGGTGGGATCCTCTTCAGAAATGACGGCTTTCATCAAAATCTTTTGAGATAGGTATCTTACAGAAAATGTCAGAATATCTGTTTTCAGGCTCTATAATCAGTTTAAGGACATCGTGATTTTTTCAGGGGTTTTTGAGAGGTTTTCTGAAAGTCTTGAAAAAAAAGTTTTCAAGAAATATTAAAATTATGCGATAAATACTCGATTAATTTTAGTGCATTGAAATGCAACAACGAAATAATATTTGATATTTCTAGACCTGACCAGACGCACTGCGTGAACACTAGAAATGAGATGAAAGTGTTTCGATAGTCTTTTCCGTTCTATTCTGAAGTGAGCACTCAAGACTCATTTTTTTCTCATCCTTTTATCAAAATCAGCAAAACTCTATTTGGCTAGTCCCAGTACATCGGTTGCCGCTGAATCGGCCTACTATGGTCGAGCACGTCTGCTTCCGGAAAATTTGGCTTTATCAGTCTTTTTAGAGGACAAAACTTGTGTTGAAGTTTAACATTGAGATTTTTAAGTGCATTGACCAAACCACAGATGTGTTTGTTTGTTATGGTAACTGTCAGATTCGTTCGTTTTTTTAGTGTTAAACCACACCTTTTTTTTATTCTCGAAAAGAAAAAGGCAAAGTAGATAGACGAGGACAACAAAAAATCAAAATACAAGCAAACAGTCAATGGGTAAGACATATTTGCCACTAGAAGTAAATGTTTAGTTGATGCAAAATCAAGCCGAGTTTAGCTCGCCGATTCCGAGCTTTACCAAAGCTCAGTCCAGCGATCCCGAGCCGAGCCACAACGAGCCCAAATTCTCGGACTCGGACCATCCCTAGCGCACAGATTTCGAGGATAAGCTTTTATTGTTATTATCAGTTTAAAATAAGAATACGTGCTAGCGATTTTTCTTCAGATTTTTAGTCAACTATTCTTTTTGATTTAATAAAAACAATTAATTCGTTTTTATTTTTATTTTTTTCACAGCTGTACATACTTGCGACTGTTCTAATTCAACTTTCGCCATTTTAAGTTTATGCTTTTTTATAAAATCGTCTAAATCCTTATGTAAATCATTCATTTTCTCTTTGATTATTTGACCAAATAGATGAGCGCAATCATCTTCAATTTGAATAGTCACAGGTAACTTTTGTTTTAAAATACATATTATTTATACCTAACCTCTTCTCATTCTCATCCATTCCGAGCGCCAAACTCCCGCTTTCATCGTGATCATGATCCATCTTCCTTTTTCTTTTCTTTTGCTTTGATAACGCGAAGCAGGCAACGTTACACGCTGGACGCATGC